CACAATATTTCAGTATTGGAGTTCCTGGGTTTTTGTTATATCGCTCACAATGAGCTGATCAAACATGACAGGTGAGATCTAACGTGTCCATCCCTCAGCAGGGCAGATGCTATTGGCATAGCAGATTCTCCTCCACAAATGCGGTCTGGAGGGTTGAGAAGTCCATACCCTCCAATATTATTCCTCCAATGAAAATAAAGGTAAAGGTAAAGGGACCCCTGACCTTTAGGTCCAGTCGCGGACGTCTCTGGGGTTGCGGCGCTCTTCTTGCTTTATTGGCCTTTATTGGTACAGCTTCCGGGTCATGTGGCCAGCATGACTAAGCCGCTTCTGGTGAACCAGAGCAGTGCACAAAAACGCCGTTTACCTTCCCGCTGGAGCGGTACCTATTTATCTACTTGCACTTTGACGTGCTTTTAAACTGCTAGGTGGGCAGGAGCAGGGACCGAGCAATGGGAGCTCACCCCGTCATGGGGATTCGAACCGCCGACCTTCTGATCGGCAAGCCCTAGGCTTTGTGGTTTAACCCACAGCGCCACCCGCGTCCATACCCTCCAATATTATTCCTCCAATGAAAATAGAGGCGTCTTATTCCTCCTCCTCCTCCTCCTCCTCCTCCTCCTCTTCCTCCTCCTCCTCCTTCTTTCCCCATCCATCTGAGTGGGTTGCTCCAGCCACTCTGAGCAGCTTCCAACATATATAAAAGCAAAATACAACATTAACCTTTAAAATAACTTCCCTTCTAAAAGTTGTATAGTTACTTACCATCTTGGTTCTGGAGTCACATAACTCCATACCCTCCGACATTTCTCTTATGAAAATAGGGACATCCTAAGGAAAAGCAGGACATTCTGGGATTAAATCAGAAACCAGGACAACTTCTATAAATCTAGGACTGTCCCTGGAAAATAGGGACACCTGGAGGGTTTGGGAGTCCTCTGAAACAGATTTGGAGTGGGGGCTGCAGAAGAAGAAGGGAGAGGAAAGGATGTCCCATTGTAGGAGTGGAAGTCCACTCTTAATATATTGGATGTCACCTCTCTGGTTGGATCTAGACAGTAAAATTTTTCACATGTTCCATTCAGTGGGTGTACCATCCATATCCATGTGTACACAACAGCTGAGCTGTACACTTGTACAGTCATTCCCATGTCACGTTCAGCGAGTGTAACGTCTGTACCCCTGTGCACAACCGTTAAGCTCTGTATATCAACAAGGGTGGACTCTTTCACACAAACCCTTTTCCGTGGGTTGGGATACTTTGCACCTGTGCTCAGTGCAGCATGTGAACAAGCCTTTGGTCCATATTTAGCGTAAGACCATTGAAACCATTGGGACTTGCTCATTCAAATCCTTTTGATTTCAACGAGTCTATTCGAATAATAGACCCAATAAAAGTGTTTTAAGGTGTATTCATGGACATTATGTCATATTGCTGTACTTTTACAAGTTAGGCCCATATTTTCATCCCCATGATGCTGATTTTTTCGGGGCGAGGGGGGCAGGATGCGGAGAGCACAGTGGCCACATCATTATGAGATGAGGTGTGAATCAGGACCTTTCTGGCTCACTTTGCGGTAGATCTGGAGAGAGATGGTAGAATTCTGAGACTGTGGAAGGGACTGTGCCACTTCAGTCTATAAGGGGGGTTATTGTGATTTTAAGAAAAACAAAAACCTAGCATTTCAGGGGGAGATTTTCTAGTTGAGCCGGCTTCCTATATACAAGGAAACAGACAAAAACAAGCAAACCACGGGGGAGCATTCAACACCTCACCACACACCTGAAGTCTGAAGTGGTACAGTCACCTCTTATCATCAGAGCATCCTCACATCCACCAACATGTCACAGGGTAAAACAGGGTCGCATTTTGTACCTAAGTGCCATTATTCTTACACCGAGGGTTGCTGCTCAAGCTCCTCCCCCCCCAGTTGCAAATCTTCTCTGCCTGTTGTAGGGTGCGTTCTTAGGTGCCAACTCCCTGAGGCGCTGGGTGCCCGAGCACCCACAACATTCCCCATGAATTGGCACCCACAAATTTCAGTACCACCCATGGCCCCGGGCAACCACAGTCGCTGGGCCAAGTTGGAACTCCTGGATGCATTCATTTAATCTGCAATAGTCTGTACTGACGCAGCTTCTGAAGAGAGAGTGTTAGTCAGCATGTTGCAAGCGCGTGAGCAGCTCTCTCTCTCTGTGTCTGTCTGTCTCTGTAGGGCCAGCCCACACATGAGACCAAGTGAGGCAACAGCCTCAGGCGGCAGGATCCCCAGGGGCAGCACATCCCGATCTTGTTTTTCCTCCCCCCCCCTCCTTGTTCCTTCACTCATCCCTTCTTCCCTTGTGGGGAGGGATAAGCCATTTGGAGGGGGGGGGTTGCCTCAGGTGCCAAAATGTACTGGTGTGTGTGGGAAGGCACTCATGAGTGCATGTAGGTGAGCCACATTGGCGTAAAAGTGAGAAGGGGAACTGTCTGGGCTGGGGGGGGGCTGCAATATTTCCTCGGGCTCCAGCACATCCTTGCGGGCCTGACAGGCAGGGACTGCGTCTTCATAAAAGCAGCAAGTGGAGATTTCCTTAAATGACTTCCTTGGCGCACGTACACCTACCTGTGCTTGAGAATCTATCTGTATCTGGTAAGTTATGCAGCCGCAGAGCCATATAACGCTCAGGATATAATAAGAGAAGTCGCGAGGAAGTAGCAGAAGACGTCCCCAGATTCTCCCGAGATGGAGCAGCTCTGCTAGTAAATTGGTTTAGTTTTCCTAGGGCATCCTGCGAGCTCCACAGCCTGCCTGTCACCATCCAGGGTCATTACTGTGGCAGCAGAAAGCGGTACATTACAGCCTGCACCAGAAATAAAGCCAAGGTTAACTTGCCTGTGATCTGAATGCAAAAGATGCAGGGGCTGAGAGGAAGCTGCGCCAGGCATTCGCTTGCAGGAACAAAGCTCGTTCCTTTTGTCCAAATAGAACACGTCGTGTCCATAGCACAAGAGGCGATGCAAAGTTAGGGGTCCGTTAATAACTTATTCATTTATTAGACAACATATTCTTCGACCTTCCAGCTTCAGAAATGCTTGATGCAGCAACCGATGGATAGAACGATTGAACAGCAATCCCTCAACCTAACCTACACGGTCGGGTTGTTGTGGGGATAAACCAGGGAGAGGGAGGACCATATATAGCACCTTAGGCTTTTTGGAGGAAAAGTAGAATACCAAGCCTTAGAAGGAACAGTTGGGGGAGTTGGGCATGTGATGCACTGAGAGGAGATATAGATTCAGGTAGGTAGCCGTGTTGGTCTGATGTAGTCAAAATAAAAAATTTTAAAAATTAAAAAATTGTCCAGTAGCACCTTATAGACCAACTAAGTTTGTTCTGGTGTAAGCTTTCGTGTGCATGCATACCTGAAGAATTCAGAAGGTATCTGAAGAAGTGTGCATGCACATGAAAGCTTATACCAGAACAAACTTAGTTGGTCTATAAGGTGCTACTGGACAATTTTTTATATTTTTATTTTGAGAGGAGATGTGATAAGCATCTTCAGATATTTCGAGGGCTGTCACATGGAAGATGGAGGAAGATGGTTTCTCCTGCTCCAGAGGCTAAGACCCGATCCAAGGGATTCAAGTTGCAAGAAATGAGATTCCGACTCAATATAAGGAAGAATATAATGGCTCACAATGGAATGGTCTCCCTCAGGAGGTGGTGGACTCTCCTTCCTTGGAGGTTCTTAAGCAGAGGTTGGATGGCCGTCTGCCATGGATGCTTTAGCCGAGATTCCTCATTGCAGGAATGGTTGGAATTGATTATTCCAACTCTAAGATGCTATGATTGCATAAGTATCATAATAAATAAAAAGGATGCACCAACAGCAGAATATATATAAATACAAAGATGCATATCAACAAACAAGCACGGCAAGTAAATCAAAGGTTTGTTAGAAAAGAACAGTCTTCCGTAGGTGATGCTGGAACAGGGGGTGACAAGAATATGTCCTGGTAATGGAAAGCTTGAGAAAATGTTCTCTGCACGAGGGCAGCCTTCTGGGGACCTCATGCCAGTGGTGGTTGGAGGTGTGTGTGGGGGGGATGGAGTCGGCAGATCAACAAATATAAATTTTACCTTTGTGCCATAGGCTAGTTTCTACACATAGCCGCATGTCGTTCTCAGTCCTCCATCCAGGCAAACAGCAGACATGATGGGAGTGCAAGGATGCATTCTGGCCAGGCCCAAATGCCCAGGTCTCTGTGTGTATTTGTGTGGGTTCTTAGTGCTTCCTTGAGCACAACATATTCCTGTCAGGAGAGGACAACTGTAAGTGGTGGCGGCAGCTGGTACTGTGTAGTGAAGACGCAACCGGCCAGCTCTGCAAGGTAGTTGTGCAAGGAATGGCACGGGACGCTCTCCAGGGCTTCCCCCTTTTGTCACAGGCATCGCTGCTGCAACCTCTCTTGCTGGGGCGAAAGAGCCCTTGGTCTTAATGGAGGGAGGGTTTGCATAGAATTGATGCTACCTATTGAAAAAACAAAGGACTCACCAGTGTTTTAAATCAAGTCAAGTAACCTTTATTGGCATCACATTCAGAATACATTCAGAATAGATAGGCCAGTGCGATCTCGTCGCCACCCCAACGACACAGTCACCTGCCAAAGGGCAGAAGAGGCGAGCAATCCACCTCATCTCTGTGGGTTTCCAGCAAGGGCAGGATCCTGTAGTGTACTTTGGCGACAAAAAATCAAATAGAGGAACGTAGCTACTGTCTTGGTGAGCTCCTGGTCTCTCTCCTGTAATAAGAAGGGCATAACCTCCGTCTCTGGTTTCCATGTTGGAATACATAGATAGAAATTGTTGGTGAAGATCATCATACATTTTCCGGTGTCTTAATATTGGGGGAGATTTGACTGTGACCACACAAGGATTTACTTGCCATTCCTGCCCCCCCAGCTGTCTTGGCTCCATGCTGTGTCTGTATTATTTATTAATCCTAACTAAACCATCTTCTTAGCTCAGTTGGTTAGAGTGTGGTGGTGCTCAGAATGCCAAGGTTGCAGGTTCGAATCCTGTGTGGGATATTTCTGCATTACAGGACGTTGACTTGATGATCCTCAGGGTCGCTTCTGACTCTACAATTCTGTGATTCTCTATCTGGAGCTCAAGGTCAGCTGAGGCCCCTGCTCTACAGAACACCGAGGTACGTGATTCATCCAGAACCTATTAACATAACATCTATACTGTTCATATTTGTTTCTGGGCTGCTTGTCAGCCCAAATCCCTCAAAGCAGCTCCCGCTAATTAAAAAGAAAAGCAGCCATAAAAAGATAATGAGAACCAAACTCAGTCAAAGCACAATAAACAAGCACAACGACAGGGCTGGCCAAAGACGTTTTGCCACCTAGAGCCATCCTCTCTGACCACTGGGCATGCTGGCCGGGGCTGATACGAGTTGGCCCCCAGCAATGTCTGGAGGGTCATAGCTGTCCCACCCCCACGCTGAGCCTGACACTTTCCTACCTTTACTCGCAATGTTGCCTCAATGAGACAATATGGCCACATTCACCCCATGCATTCAAGGCACTATGATGCCACTTTAAACAGCCATGATGGCTTCCCCCAAAACTGCGTATTTCTTTGTATGCCAACTTGGTGAAGAGCGGTTAAGAATACTTATAAATTAAATATATACATAAGGTATCACCACCTCTGAAACTGAGCTCTACTCTCCCAGAAATATGTGTCTTCTAATGCAAACTTGCCCCCCCCATGCATGCATTTTTGTATACACTGGAGAGCTGCATCGCAAAATTCGGAGAAGTGTGGACTTGGAAAAGATCGCTGCATTTCGTTCCACATGTTGTTGTTGTTTAGTCGTTTAGCCATGTCCGACTCTTCGTGACCCCAAGGACCAGAGCACACCAGGCACTCCTGTCTTCCACTGCCTCCCGCAGTTTGGTCAAACTCACGTTGGTGGCTTCGAGAACACCGTCCAACCACCTCGTCCTCTGTTGTCCCCTTCTCCTTGTGCCCTCCATCTTTCCCAACATCAGGGTCTTTTCCAGGGAGTCTTCTCTTCTCATGAGGTGGCCAAAGTATTGAAGCCTCAGCTTCAGAATCTGTCCTTCCAGTGAGCACTCAGGGCTCATTTCCTTCAGAATGGATTCGTTCCACATATTGGTTCCAAATGTTTGAACTGGGTAGTTTCTCATAGGAGATGTGAACAAAATCAATTCCATGCCCCATCCCTCCCCACAGCCCACCCTGCAGCATCTTTTCCAACCCATGCCACTGACAGCTGGTGCTGCTGATTGACAGGAGGAAGAAGAGGAGCAGCCCAGGAGTGACGGCCCACCTACTTCCTCAGCAGAGCTCCAGAAACCGCCATCACCATCACCAACATATGCGGGACAGAGCTTTGAGCTTTGCAGCACCTCTTTCCCAAACAGATGCATTGCAACTGATGCTCTTGAAAAGAAAAAAGGAGGGGGGGGGATGATTTTCTTTTGGAACTGTTTATGGATTAGTCTAATGTCATTTATTTTTTTGGCTGTCTTATATCCCTCGAACTGTTTGATTTCCTGAGATAGTGAGCCTCTTGGAGACAGAACTCTCAACGTTTAGAAGAACTGCGGTAAGCCTGTCCGACCCCATGGAATAGGGGAAAGGAAGCACTCATTTGAATGAGAGAAAATAAAGAGCTATACTCAGGAACGCACCCCAGGGTGTGTCTAAAAACCTGCCCTGGTCATCCCAGGGCCAAATTAAACACTAGGTCAAATGCATTGTTAGGTTTTTTTGAAAATGCAACCAGCAGCTTCTGGGGAGGAGGGAAGGAGGGCAGATATTTATTGGGATCACAGCAGGCCAAAAAGGGGGATTCAAACCCTCTCCCTGTCCTGCTATGCTCTTGCTGAAGATTGCTCCTCTGAAGCTGCTATTTACAATGGGAGGAAATCCACACCCACCCTTTTGGCACCAGTGATCTGGGATGAGAGGCAGACTTTGCTCCCTCCTGAGTGTCTCTCAGATTGCAGGCTGCTTCCTTTGTCCCACAGAAAGCAAAGGAACCCGGATCGATATTGCTGACATTCCATTCAGGCAAGAGTCTTTCCAAGTCTTCCCTGGAGATGCCGGGGCCTGGACCTGGGGCCTTAAGCAGATTGCTCAGTCCCTGAACCTCAGTCCTTCTGAGATATCCTTGCCCTGAATTCTGGCATGACAGCAGAGTGTGGCAGACCCTGGAATCTGGGGCTTTTAAGACTGCAGCCAGCAGAGAGCAGCGTGGGAGCTGGCTGTTTCCATACAGAAGATAATGGCGCTATTAATTTGCAAAACGCTTTGAGATCTTTATTGACTCTATGCTTGCGAGGAGAGACTTTCTTCAGAAGGGGTAGAACTAACAGAAATTATATTTTATCGCACCCTAGCAACAGGAGACTGCGAGCGGGGAGAAAACCTGAGCAAAATTAACCCAACACATACACACACACACACAGAGAGAGAGAGAGAGAGAGAGAGAGAGAGAGAGAGAGAATTGCTGCTTTCACCAGAGGTGCAATTCTGAAGCCTGTTTTGAAGCGAATTCTCTGGTGGATTCTCAGGTGAAACATCTGAGATATTCTTAAGGCAGCAAAATGTGTTTTGGCAGTGTAACCATGCAAATAAGGCAGGACTCAGACATAATACACCAAAGAGCACTCACTGCACCACAAACATGCAGCAATTGCCGTTCTTGCTGCTGCCTCGAGCAGACTGGGAAATCAAATGTGGATATGGCCCCACTCATTCATCTCCTGCTTTCAGTGATCTCCCCTTTTATTTTATGTTTTGGGATGTGAATAGATGCTAGGAGAGGATATATTTATAAAATATTATCTTTCCTTCCTCATGTTTGCGAGTTCAGCAGAGTGCCACCCCTTTGCATCTTAAAGGGAAGCTTGGATAGGCTAGTTTTAGCCTTTTTGTTTTAAGTAATCTAGGATATTTTAAGGCAGACTGGATTTTCCCTCTTTTCTCCCCCCTTAAAACAATAACCACACAAACAGTTTTGTAAAAGGTAAGAATAACATTTCCTCATTCAGAATACTTGTCGAAGAGTAACAGGTACAGCAGTTTTGTCCAGGCAGGCTTAAAATGGTAATTCAGTTACAAAGAGATACGTAGGTCTAAGCTTGGAGCTCAGACTAGGCAGATGTTGCCACATTGCTGGCAGAGTGGAAAGAGATGGGAAAAGGTTGTGCCCTGGCAGGTAGGAGAAAATATGGCTATGCCCTCCCACTGTCAGGGCACAGTGGGAGACACTCTCTAGCAAGTTTACAGGGAAACTCTGTGCGCTTCAGTTCTTACCATGTGCCTGTCTAGTAAAATGTGAATTGTTGGTTTGCCTGTGTTTTAAATATCCCACATTATGTGCAACTTCAGCTGAAAGCCCACATAGGTTTCTAGTGAAATAAAAAATTTAAGGTCATATATATATATAATGTTCATAAATGTACCAACCAATCGCATACATAGATGTGTGGACCACATGTCTGGAGCAGCACAGGAAGACCACCCTGAAACCATTTTGACTCCCAAACTGACCAAATGTTTTCTCTGCAAGGAGGGAGGGGGTGGGGGAGCCTTCCCATTGTGTCAGGAATTAAGTGATTACCATCTCAAAGGAATGGGCAGACTACCAGGAAAGGCAATCAGATAAGGCATTATCAGATAACCTGGCAGACAGGAACAACAACATTCAAATTTCTGTGGTAGACCACCTTTTCTGTAATGTAGGTATGATGTTTGTGGGGGGTGGTCTTGGGTTACACCCCTTCTGTGATGTATGGAGGGGTGGTCTTGAGCTCCAGGGCAGGGAATTTAAAATGGCTATATAAGGGCGGGCACACCTTGGTTCTGGGTCCTCCTCCGTCCTCCTGCGTGTCAGGGGAGCACCCTGTTGCAACAGCTTTAGTACAGATCAGGCTTACTAGCTGCTTTGCTTCTCAATATTCTCTAGTTGGCCTCTGCTATTTTCTCCGACCGATGGAGAACCTACAGAAGACTCTGTAAGGGCTCTTGTGTCCCCCATAAGGGAACAAGGGCAGATTTTTGTTTATTACACTAGTCCATAACAAAAGGTCCTAGGTCATTGCCCACATACACCTATGATAGTATGTCGTGTCACATCAATGGCCTAATGGAAACTATCGTACTTCCTCTCTCTGTGTCACATAGTGGGGGCGTTTCTGAGTTGTCACCAGCAGGACTGGGCAGTGGTGATTTATTTCTCCAGGTGATTTCGTGCCCCTTTAAATACGCTTAAATTCTTTATAGGGGACAGAGCACAACCAGGAATCTGGCTGGCTGCCTTGCATAGGCAGCCCAAGCACCCAACACAAATACAGTTCCCAGATAAATTGGTCACCAGTCATGCAAACAAATGTCGTGACCCATAGACTGCATCTTCATTCTGTTGGAGAAGGTATCATGGGGTCAGTAAGTAATTAAAACTTGCACCTTAAAAGATGCATTTTAAAATGTACTGCTGCAGGCTTCAATCAGTAGGTTAATAATCCAAAGATAGCAATCTTATCTAAAGCTTGATTCATTAGTGGGGGCAAACATTAATTGCAGGAGATTAAAGGGCAACGCTCTTCCTTTCTTTGAGGATTTATTTCTCTGTCTCGGGATGGTAGCTGTAAAAAGAGAATGGAAAATAAAATATTAACAATGCCCTTCTGTCTAATAGTGAGCAGTAGCTTTCATTTATTACATTGAGATTTTAAGGAAGCACCTTGCTAGACCAGATTTAAAGGTAAAGGTAAAGGGACCCCTGTCCATTAGGTCCAGTTGTGACCAACTCTGGGGTTGCAGCACTCATCTCGCTTTATTGGCCGAGGGAGTCGGCGTACAGCTTCCGGGTCATGTGGCCAGCATGACTAAGCCGCTTCTGGCGAAACAGAGCAGTGCACGGAAACGCCGTTTACCTTCCCGCTGGAGTGGTACCTATTTATCTACTTGCACTTTGACGTGCTTTCGAACTGCTAGGTTGGCATGAGCAGGGACCGAACAACGGGAGCTCACCCCGTCGCGGGGA